CCCCAGTCCCCTGAGCTCCCCACCATGGCTGCCCCACCCCCACCCCAGCATCACCACAAAGATTTTAAAAAGCAAAAAAGCCCAAGCCTGGCACTCACCGCCACTATCAGCTCCCCTTCGGGGTCACTGGGGCTCTCCCCCCGACACAGTGCGGGGCCAGGTGACAACCGCAGTGGCCCCAGTCTGGGCCCTGCTGCTCCCCACTGCCCCATGCTGTGTGGAGGGGCTCTGCCAGGAGGCCCCAGAGCCCCCACAGCCCCTGCTACTTCTGGTGAGTATAGGTTTGTTTTGGTTTTTGCTAGCAATCCGGGGCCTGGGGAAGCAAGCAGAGGTGGGGCATGTGGGCCCTGCGGGAGGGGGTGACAGCCCCTGCAGGGGCCATTTGGGCCCTGTTGGGGGGGCTGTAGCCCCTGCGGGGGGCAACAAAACATATAGGTGTTTAGAATTCACTTTATTATGATGATAGAAATACAGGTAGGCTTCCAAATTGCTTTAACACTGTAGATATATCAATAAAACATTGCCCAACTGATCAATGCATCTCTGCCTCCCACTCTCTCTCTCTCTCTCTATATATATATATATAGTGGTCTTTTGTTTTAATTGTGGAGGAACATAGATTTCAGGGTATTTTACAGAGTGGCTTTGGGATTTTTTTATCGGGGATTTTTCATTTTTCAAGTAGGGAACACCAGAATTCCTGCTAGGGAGGCCAGTGGCAGGACCCTGCTTGCTCAGAGCTGGCACCTTGGACCCAGCTGGAGGTGACTGACCTCCTAGCCAATTGCAGCCAGGAGGACACTTTGATAGTTCAAAGAAGGCCACCACACTGGGAACATCTTCCAGGCAATAGCTGCCCAGATGCCCAGGCAGGGGGCATACATGGCAGTAGTGCCACACAAAGGCCAACTTTACAGCCACAGCCCACTGGCAGCTGGCCCAGAGGAGCAGAAGCATCATCCAGGTCTGGCAGGTGCGCATCCGGTCACAGCCAGGCAGCAGCCCCCACTGCCAGACTACTGCAGTGGGTAGAGGGTACAGGGAACTCTCAGGGCTGCTTCAGCAATCCGTCTGGCACAAGGGGTAGTATCCCCAGGTACCAATTGGCTGGGCCCCAGAAGCTCCTGAGAGCAAGTAGCCCTGAGCTACTTGACAGGGCAGCTTTTTGTACTGATGGGGCCAGGACAGGGCAGCTTTTTCTACTGCTGGGGACAGCACAGTTGCTGACCCCAGTCTCTAGCTCCCAGGGGCTGCAGATCCAGGAGGAGCCAGGCAGGGTTATTTTGCCCCAAGTGGCACAATTTGCCCTATACCAAAGTGCATGTCCGGGTACATGAGCAGAGGCAAAAAGCCCTGGCTCAAATTTGCACTGCTTCTATTTGAGCTGCTGCAAGGGCACATGCCTGAATGTGTGGACATGCCCATTGTCTTCAAATTACACATTCAGTGACATCTCGAGATGCAATGCTAACTTCTCTCTTATTGCACAGGTGTAAATGACTGGAATTTAGCAAACAGTTATGATGTGCCGAGAATGACAATAATTCACCTTAATCTATTTTTTTTATAATCCAACAGGTTTTTTTGCACTTCCACTTTTCAGCAAAAAGTGGGGTGATATATCTGCCACCTAGCATATGAACAACTCCTAGCATATGATTTAAATTACATGTAAATGGAAAATCTTGCAGTGACTCAAACAGCATCAGCCTACTTAATTCCTCCTCTTAGCCAAATCTTGTGCTTGTCAAATGTACCACATTTTGTTAAAGGAAAAGAGATGCATTAGTCTAGAGCAGAGCTTTCCAAACTGTGTGCCGCGACACATTAGTGTGTCGGCGGCAGTGTGTAGGTGTGTCACGCGAAATGCAGAAAATTTTGTGGAAGGGCACCGCGGAGCTCCCTTACTCGCGTCTGCTTCCCTTGGCCCCTCCCCCGGAACTGAATTACTGTGTCGCGAAATGATGCATGTCTAAAAAGTGTGTCACCAACATGAAAAGTTTGGAAAGCTCTGGTCTAGAGAACTGTCAGGATCCATATTTATTTTGCTGATCCCACATACAAACATAAGATACAAAAATAAAATATTAGCATACCACTGTGCACCAGCTGCATGACATAGAGAAATGATAAAGAGGACAGCATCCAGCTGGCAAGATGTTCACAGGTGTGCAGACTAAGCAATGCCAGCAGGAAACTGTTAAAAGGCAAACAGCTTTAAAAATGAGAAACAAAATTCACCCAATGCAAAGGGCCGATACATAGCCTATGCACCACCAACTAATTCTGTCCCATTTTGCTAGTTTAAGTGAAGTATAGGCTTTCCTGGTCCTCTACACAAGGACAAATTTAACCACAAAGGGCACTTTAAAGCAATTAAAATAAGGTTCCTATCAAATACTCAATTGCTGTGCTAACAAAAGCTAATTAGTTTACAGTTTAGGTAATAGATGTGTGCTCTGAGTAAAATTAACAAGCTGAGCTTTTCTGAAAGGAGTGCTGTCCAAAAAGTTAATTCAGATCAATGTGCCATTTCATTGCTATTCAGTGGGACTCATGTTAATGTGAAATATTACTTTGCCCTCAGCTAGACAATCACAACTTATATACTCTCCTAATTGTTTACTGTTGAAATTATGCAATAAATATTCCAGTTTTGTGAAATGCCACAACAAAGTTGCAGGTTGTTGGTTGTAGCCATGTTGGTCTAAGGACATAGGCAGGCAAGGTTCTTTGGGTAGATGTGGTATCTTTTTTTTAGACCAGCTCAAATAGTTGGGGAAAAGTTCTTTGCAAGCTTTGGGGCACAAACAACCCTACATCAGGCATAGGGAGACTGTAGCTATTATGAGTTCCCCAAGGCAGAAAATAAGCTAAAGTGTAACAAAAAGTCTGTGAAAATGTAAATGAGTGGAAGTATGGAAGACAATGGGTAGAGCTGTGGGAGAGGGGGAGGGAGATGTGTAAAGGAATGTGGAGTTCAAACTTCACTTCATAAATCTACTGATACATGGACTTAATAAATCATGGACATTGGATTTATGACACATGATAACCTGCCTGACATCTAATTCACCAGGTAACCTGCCTGAAGCTGACCCCTTACATTGCTTCACACATCTCCCTCCCTTCTCCCATTTCTACGCATTGTCTTCCAAACTTCCACTCATTTACATTTTCACAGACTTCTTGGTAACCTTAGCTTCTTTTCTACCTTGGAGCATCTCCCTGTGCCTGACATAGGGTATTTGTGCCCCAAAGCTTACAAATAACATTTTTTCAAGTATTTTAGTTGGTCTAATAAAAGATACCACATCTACCCAGACAACAAAGTTGTTGTTTTGATGCAGCTGATCAACATTCTCAACAGCCAGCTAGTTTGATTAGAACCCTTCCTTTTGTCCCACACTCCAATCTTCGAGTTTTCATTTGTGAAAACTGTCAAAAGTTTTCCAACACAACTCAGATGATTTGCGGAAAGAGCAGCCCTGGAAGAGCACTGACATCTGGTGGTCATTTTAGTTTTTCTCAGTCTCAACATCACATATTGATTTGGTCAGCTAATGAGGATAGTTGGAGTGCACAAAAGATTAAGGCTCATAAGGACTGAAACCATGCAGCCTGATCAATAATTAGTGCTCATGCAAGCCCACTTACAAATTGGTAGGGTGGGCTGCTGTGGACACTTCCACACTAACAGAAAATATTTCTATAGGAAGAGAACATTCCAAATTTAAAAAGACGGGGGAGAAGATTAAATGCATCCTACATGGTCCATATTTATAAATAGCATATTTTTAATTTTACAATAATATGAACAGATGATACTTTAGTGTATTTCAAACCCCCCAGAAATATGAAATGTCATCAAAGCATCAAGTTACTGGGTTTATACAATCTTTATAAGTTATGTGGAATATGTCAGTTACAAATAAATGCAGATGCTATGCAATACACAAACAACAAACCAAAAGTCACTTCAAGCTGCCAGCACATTAATAGTATTGTTGGATTAAAATTACTCTAGAGATGTTAGGTTTTTGTAAATACAGCACATTCAATTTATCAAGTTCTCCAAAACAAATGGATCATGAAATGGAAATATATAAAACTGTCTTCTTCCCATCAAGAAAAAAGGACTGTTTCCTACATAAGAATGTTTCTTACTAATGGAAAAGGACTGTGACATTTAGGCCTTCTTTAGTTTAAAAAAAACTTAATACTCCATTAAATTAAACCAGCAATATTTAACAAACAAATTATCCACTTTACCCTCTGCTAGACTGCCAGATTAAAATACATATTTGTTCCATTCACTGGCCATAAGAGAGTATTTACATGATATATATTGAATTCAACCAGATTTTAATAGAACTGAGCTACAGACACAAAGATTAGATTTAAAATGTACTAAGTTGGTGGGCCCTAGTAAGTGATGGACAACCTTCAAAAAGTTCACTTGTGCTTTGGTGCAGTGACCTAATCTAAAACTTGTGAATATTTGACCAAAAATGTGTAGCATGCTTCCTGGTCTTCACAAATGAACTGTAAGTGTTGCTAGAACAGCCTTTGATGAGAATTTTGACAGGTCCTGATTCCATTCAGGCTGCAGAAATCCAGGACAGGTGCAAATCACAGTTAGGTGCACAAGTTTCACTGAAATGAAAAGGAGATAAACTCAACAATACATTTGACAGCAGCCATTGACTAGTGATTAGTATCAAAGGACCTTTTCCTTTTTTACAGTATTTTAACAAATCCAAATTTTCATTGTCCAGTACTGTTACTCATTTTCACCAATTTGTAACCTTGTCATAAAGAAGCTGATCCTGCTGAAGGGGAGTAGAGACCTTTGAAAGGTCTCCCTCTGTACACAAATAGCTGACTTTCATACACACTTTGGGTTAAATCAATTTTACTTTATTCAGCTAAATAGCACATACACAACTGCATAAATGCAGTTTTAAATACTTACATACAGTTTGCAGCTCAGCACTGGGCAGGCAAGTGAGGATGCTCAGTAAAGGTGCACTCTGTGCAGACAGGTATCTGGTGATCTACATGTAAAAGGCTGGGTAAGGTCTGAAATTGTAGCCAGGCAAAATCCCACAACTAACAGGTGCTAAATGCTGGAGAAGTGTGTCCTTCCACCCCTCTCCCATGTTTTAACTCTTGCAATTGGGGCACATGCCTGTGGTGTAAAAGCTCGCCTTTTTCCCAGAGGGGATTTGAGTCTGCATTTTCTGCTTCCCAGCACAGTGCTCTAAACAGGAGGCAGCAGATTACATATTATCCAGTGACTTTTCCAGCCTTCCTCTTGAAACCAATCGCATGGACAGGCAAGCAAATAAGATATGTGGGGCCAGGAAGAACAAGCTTGAATGTGTGAGCTCAGTAGGATGAATGCTACTTTGTCTTGGAGGGGGGCCTGGATTTTAGGCTGAAGCCCTGTTCCCAGAAGGGCAGAAACTTCCCCACTGATCTTTATCCAGAGAATATTAAATGAACAAGTGCAATGGCTCAGCTTGAAGGGGATGACTGGAAAGAGGTCTGGCTACTGCCTAACCTGTGGCCTGCTGGTTAGAGCACTTTGCTAGGAAACAGAAGATGCAGGTTTAAACCTTCTATGTGAGAAGGGAGCCTACAATCTGGATCCTACCCGCTAGGCAATGCCCTAACCTCTAGGCTACTGTCTAACCCATGGAAAGGTCCTCCTCTTCTCTGCTTCCAGCAGGTACATCTATTTTGCAACAGGGTGAAACAGGATTCAAAACTGTATGTTAAGTGCCAAAAGAGTAAAAATACATGAAGTGAAATAGGATTTAGCCCCTTAAATCCTTCCCAAATAAATTAAACTGTACCACAGTGTGAACCTACAGTGAAGTGGGCGGACGAGAATCTGATGGTGTTCAACGCCAATAAATGCAAGGTTCTCCACCTTGGGAAGAAAAACCCGCAGCATCCTTATAGGCTTGGCAGTGCTATGTTGGCTAGCACTATGCAAGAAAGAGACTTGGGGGTCATCATTGACCACAAGATGAACATGAGCCTGCAGTGCAATGCTGCGGCTAGTAAAGCGACCAAAATGCTGGCTTACATCCATAGATGCTTCTCAAGCAAATCCCGGGGTGTCATTCTCCCCCTGTACTCGGCCTTAGTGAGGCCGCAGCTGGAGTACTGTGTCCAGTTTTGGGCTCCACAATTCAAAAAGGATGTGGAGAAGCTTGAGAGACTCCAGAGAAGAGCCACGCGCATGATCAGAGGTCAGGGAAGCAGACCCTACGATGACAGGCTGAGAGCCATGGGGCTCTTTAGCCTGGAAAAGCGCAGGCTCAGGGGTGATCTGATGGCCAGCTATAAGTTTATCAGGGGTGACCACCAGTATCTGGGGGAACATTTGTTCACCAGAGCGCCCCAAGGGATGACGACTAGGTCGAACGGTCATAAACTACTACAAGACCGTTTCAGGCTGGACATAAGGAAGAATTTCTTTACTGTCTGAGCCCCCAAGGTCTGGAACGGCCTGCCACCGGAGTTGGTTCAAGCGCCTACATTGAACACCTTCAAGAGCAAACTGGATGCTTATCTTGCTGGGATCCTATGACCCCAGCTGACTTCCTGCCCTTTGGGCAGGGGGCTGGACTCGATGATCTTCCGAGGGCCCTTCCAGCCCTAATGTCTATGAAATCTATGAAATCTATGAAAAACTGATGCTATTTTATCTAAACTAGTCATAGTGGTCCCACAGAAATTCAATGGTCCTTGATCAGTATGCCACACAGTGGGAGTGTAAGGGTGATGTTTTAACCATGATCATCCAGAAATTGTGATACGGAAGGATTTCTTAGGGAGGGTCCTGAAGAAGAATTTCTTACATTTGAAAGCTTGTCTAAGACTACCCCAGTTGGGCCAATAAAAGACATCACCCTAAAAAATCCTTGTCTATACAGTAGGCAGTGAAATTCACTGCTTTGCAGAAGCAAGCATAAGGTACAGGTGCAATTTAGATCCCATTTGAACCCTGGTCCTGTGCACACTAATGAATTTCCCCACTCTGTGAAAACCTACCATGTTGCTGCATGAATATCTGTTAAATTAAAAGTACTAAAATTATATCAGTCATTTGGTAAAAGAGTAAGAAACAATAGTCATTCTAACAAAGCATTGGCACAGGATCTTCAGCTCCTCCTTTGAAAAGAAAGTATTGCTTTTTCTCTCTTATCCCCTCAAAATTTATTTTCCACAAACAGCTCAGCATTGCCAATACATTTCTTCAACAGCAGGAGACTATTATTCTGTGACAATGTTCTGGTCCATGGACATAATCTTTCTTATATGTTTGTTTTAGATATTTCCCTGGGGACAAAAGATATCCCAAGACTCTCACAAGTCTAAAAATAATTTTGTCGTGTTCTAATTGATAACATCATATTGGCAAATCTCTTCCGAAGACACATGAAAGCCAAATAACCCATCCCTGCTAGGAAGCCAACCAACAAGGTAGAGCCAAGAACTTTTGGTGCCCTTTTCTTGGCCACCCGGAATGCAGTTGGCAGAACTGCTGAGATTAATATGTTGTTGACATGTCCTAAAACCTTATTAAATGTTTTTCTCTTCAAGACACGCTCATAATAGGCTTCCAAGTTGGGACGTTTTCCATTTCCCCAGTTTCGTCTTGCTAATCCCAGGAACTTCAGACGATGTAATGTAACAGCAAGTGACACGTCTGCCAAACTGAAAAATTCACCACAGAGCCAAGGTTGGTGTCCCTCTTCTAATCAAAAAGAAGACATGAAGAATTAGGAGTTAATGAATAATAAAAGCATGTGGAAGTCTGTATGATCTAACATGACTGTTTCTATGGCGAGTATATAACAGGTATACATAAACAATAGCAACATTTTAGATAAACACTTTAATAACTAACATTTTTCCAACCTTATCCATACAAGGTTTCAAAGCCCTTCTCCCAAGAGATCAGGTTTTCTTTATTACACACTTCAGTTTTGTCTTTAAGACTCATTGGGAATTCTTATTCGGAAGTAATAGGGTTGGAATGGATGTAAATGCAACTCCCTGCCTCTTCTTGATAACCTCCAATGTGGGGGAGGTTCTACAGCATGTCAGCTGCTAGTGATCACCCTTCGTTCTACAGGTATTTAAAAAATGACTGTTTTATAATTAGTTCTAATAACTTCCCAGGTATTGAAGTTGGGTTGACTGGCCTATAATTCCATGGGTTCTCCTTTTTTCCCTGTGTAAAGATAGGTACTATGTTAGCCCTATCCTCATCTTCTGGAACCTTATGACATCTTATGTGTGTTGCTCTATTGAGAGAAATTCAAGCAAGAACTGCTAATAGGGTGAATATTTTCTAAACAAAACGGACTTAACCTGACAACTGAGCCAACAGAACAGCACTGAATCAACCCATAGCCCAACCAAAACTTTTAAGGTGGCATGTTAATTCTTCACTGAATGTCAGGCTGGCTTCATATCTTCTCATTGTGTCTCCTAAACAGCAGAATTACTTATATTGTGCTTAGGTCTTAAGCAGAATGTGGGAGGATTCAGCTTTCTAGTATTTTTAAAAGCAAAATAGGTTTGTGGTAGGAGCCTGGGACAAGATGGGAAACTCCCTTCTTGAGAGCATGGAGGCAGAAAGGGATTTTGGAGTCATCGACTCGAAGATGAACGTGGGCCAACAATGCGAGGTCACGGTCGGCAGGGCTAACCGGACCCTATCGTGCATCCACAGGTCCATCTCAAGTAGGTCCAAAGAGATGATCCACCCCCTCTATGCGACACTGGTCAGGCCACAGCTGGAGTACTGTGTCCAGTTCTGGGCACCCCACTTTCAAGAGGGATGTGGACAACATAGAGAGGATCCAGGGACAGCAGGGCAGACCCTACAAGGAGAGGCTACGGGACCTGAACCTGTTCAGCCTTCACAAGAGAAGGCTGAGGGGGGACCTTGTGACTGTCTATAAACTCACTAGGGGGGACCAGAAGGGTTTGTGGGAGACCTTGTTTCCCCTAGCACCCCCCAGGATAACAAGGAATAACGGCCACAAGTTGTTGGAGAGTAGGTTTAGATTAGACATCCGTAGGAACTACTTCACAGTCAGGGCGGCTAGGATCTTCCAAGGGAAGTGGTGCTGGCTGCTACCCTGAGGGTCTTTAAGAAGCGGCTTGATGCCTACCTGGCTGGTCATTTGAGCCCAGTTTTCCTCCTGCCCAGGCAGGGGGTCGGACTTGAAGATCTACAAGGTCCCTTCCGACCCTACTTCTATGATTCTATGATTCTATGATAAGAGACTTGTAAATGGATTCAATCCTTTACAGCTGAAGAGAAATACAAGTTAATACATGGTAATCCTGTACATGAGAAGGTCATAAAAATAACACCCTACATGTGTGAAAGGAAGACCATTGTGAGGAAGGAGGCTAGTGAGTGGGAGGTGAACAGTAAAAATGAAGAGAGAGAAGCTCAGAGAGAGATTGGGAGGTGGTTGCAAACTCAGGAACTTTAGAAGCCTCCCTTCCACAGGCAGACACTTGACCTAGAGCCAAATTTCATCTGCCTGCGATCTTGGCAGATATCATAAGCTAATCAGTGTCATGTCACATCACTGCTTGGAAAGGAGATCTGCAGGAGAAAACCAAATACTTCAAGAAATAGAACTGGTACTCCTCATTTGTTCACTGACATTCTGTTGTCTGATGTGGAGTGAATTGATGGGGTAATGCCACTGGAGTTATGCCGGTAGAGGTTTTGGATCAAAAAATATTTCCTACTGTATACTGCACTGGTTTGAACCAGCTTACATTGATAGTGACTGGCAGTTGGTACCATCTACAGCTATCTAGTAATCCAGGTGAACAGAATCAGTTGTCCAAATTTCATCTCAGTGAGCAAGGCTTCTCTTACAAAACACAGTTGGACACTAACAGGCATGTGTCCTGATAGTGTCAATAGAAAACTGAAGGACAGAGGGTCCAATCCAGCTCCCAGTGAAGTTAGAGAAAAGGCTCCCAATAACTTCAAAGGGAACTGGATCAAACTCTAATGGCACAATCGTATTTCACTGTATGCATCCAAATGGCAGGTACCCAGTCATGTAATTGCCATTTTTGGCACTTAGGCACAGTTTGCAAGCTTATTCCATATGCTGGCACATGCACAGTAGGGTGTGCTCTGGCCAGGCAGGTATACTGCTCTATACACATGTACTTCAGTGTAAATCCCAAAAATTCTGGCCCAACACAAAAAAATAGCTGAGTAGCTATAGCACTTACCCAGAAAACTGGCAACCCAGGTGCTGGGACCCCTTCACTCACATGGGGTTTAAACCTGCATCTCCCTAATTTCCCACCACAGTGATCAAACCCCTACAGCCCTAGCTCTAGTTTCCTTCTGAAGGTGAGTCACTGGACCTTGCACTTCATATTTATTGGTTAAACTGAATGGAGAGTACAGGGGAAGCTTCTGTCCCACAGGAAACAAGGATCTAGTCTAGAATCCACAGCTTGTTTCCTTCCTGCACACAATCCATACTATAGAGCCTTCTACCCTATAGCTTGTTCTCTTCTTCCTGAGCCCCTAAAACTCCCTTCTTGGCAGGCCAGAGGACCAGCTTCAAAAGGAAGGCTAGAGAAGGGACTACCTAATTACAAACCTGTAGCCTGATAGTTAAGAGCCTAGCCCTGCAAAATAAAAGAAAGAAAGGTCCAAACCTCCTTCCAGGGGAGCAGGGAGAAGCCTACAACACGGATCTTCTGCTGCCTGGGTGACTACCCTAACCATTCATCTATTGTGCCCTCCCCTCTTCAGCACCTAACACTTGCTAGTCATGGGTTTTTATCAGGTAGAATTTCATGATTTATGCTCACACAGCATGCACACATATGCACACAGCATACATCCACCGCACATAACCATCATAAGCTACTGAGCATGTGTCTATACTTTACATGAGGTAGGATCACAAACTCTGTGCAAGTGCCAAAAATGCACTTCCTCAGCTGGGAAAGTGCCATTTCAGTAAAGTAAAATGTAACAGGACTCTTCCTTCAGTGAGCATGGAGAGCTAATGAGAGATGATCCCGATGCAAGGAAAAAGAGGGAAAGGGGCCAGGAGGCTTCCTTGGCTGACCAGAGAAATCCAGGGCAGCCTACGGGCCAAAAGGGGGGCACATAAAAAGTGGAAACAGGGAGAGATCACCAAAGAGGAGCATACCTCCTCTGCTCGTGCTTGTAGGGAGGCAGTTAGACGGGCCAAAGCTACCATGGAGCTGAGGATGGCATCCCAAGTAAAGGATAACAAGAAATTGTTTTTTAGATATATAGGGAGTAAAAGGAAGGCCCAGGGACGAATAGGACCCCTGCTAAATGGGCAGAAGCAATTGGTGACAGACAGGGGGGACAAGGCTGAACTCCTCAA